GAAAAGAAAAAACAGGTATCAATATCGATACTTATCAATATTATAGAAATAGGAGAAGAAATACATTTAATCTGCTCATTACTTAAAAGGATATATATTTCAAGTCTCTAGTCCCTAGTTCACATAGACAGATGAACATTTCTAGATCGACTCAGCTCTAACACATTACTTGCCTGAATTGTAATACCCACCGATAGGGCATACAAAAGAAACACAAAATATTGTTGCATTTCACACAGCTTTTGGTCGCTTTGGAGGGGTAACTGCCACCGGGTCAACGGGCTGCAATTGTGCAATTTCTATTTTGTTGCCATTTTAAAAACGAATGTTGTGTTATTTCCGTCAAAAGAGTAATTAAACGTACAAAGCAAACGGCAATTCAACACACATGCGAGGGTGGCTCGATATACTGGCAGTAGAAGTATATAATGGCTATCATTTGTCCCTGAACAGCCCTCGTTCTGGCACTGTGCTGATGGAAGCTAGGGCAGCTTCTTATGGCCAGCGGACATTGCGGTCTATAGAAGACAAGGAACGTGCAGGGAACCGGATTGGAGAGCAGGTCAACGGAAGCCTGTGCGCAAAACATTGTAAATAAAATCCAGAGGCGAGAAAGAGAGCGTAGGAGAGTGTCAGAGCGAGAGCCAAGTCTGGCCAGGATTCCGTTGAGCGTGTGTAAGGGTATGCACTGTGTCTGCCATTCTGACCTGCGGGTGCTTTTGTGTTAATTGCGGTTGCATTTAATTACAGTTCGTTGCATTTGCCGCATGTCCGACTGTCTGACCACCTGCAGGGGGCGGAAGGCGGGCGATTGGGCAGGACTAGAAGCTCTACTCACATTCCTGCAGCTCCACGTAGCCCACTCGCCGCAAAGCTAAGGTTTTTAATTAAAGCTAAAAGAATTCGACACTGGCTGGCCTGGCTGCTGCTTGACTTTTGACCTGGCCTTGTTCAAGTGGGGGACCCCCCACGACTATTGCCTTGTGTACGCAGGCGGCAATAATTAGCAGACCAAACTGCACGGGGGGGTGTACAATGTACGGTAGTAGTGTACGGCGAACAGCCACCCAGATGACATACACAGGGGCCGCAACATGATTTGCATAAGCCACACACAGGGGCCACGCTAGATTACGCATACGCCGCGTTGCACAAACATTGCTGCCAGCTCTGCTAGAGCCACTCAATTATGTGTATTGGTATTAGCATAAGTATTTAATGGTAAACGTTAGACGGCCCCAGCTTAAGCTAGCTGTCCTGAAAACGACTTGATAATGTCCACAATGCTAACATAGGTGCCCACCACGCCGCCAAAAATGCCAAACAGCAGCAACAGCAAATTGACCAGAAGCCTATAGCCCGCTGGTCCATAGCCCGTCTCGTATTGCACACAGATTTGCAGCAGCGCCGGAAAGATGAGACCCAATACCGATAGGCAAAAGGAGCCAACGAGTGACAGAAATAGCGACAGATCCGGTATGGCAATGGCGCAGCCAACTGAAATAGCAAATATATCAATCTATAGCCACCATTTCCGATGTTTGCCATTCGGCTTACAGGTGAGCAGCACAATCAGCGCCCGAAAGCACAGCTCGTAGAAAGCATGCTTTTTGGTATTCTCAATACGTTTACTCAGATACTTTGTCCACAGAATGTGCGCCGTAACATAGCCCTGCAGCGCATAGGATATATACGTGGTAATGGCAAAGAAGATTTTCACCACCTGGGCGAGACTGCAAAACATCAACAATAAAACTTTTTATTCGAGCCAGCGTCTGCAATACTTACATTTCCGTCTGTGGAATGTTCAGCGTAACACTTCCCTTTGCTTCCGCACCGTACTTCCAGTAGCCGAAAAAGCCGAGGAACACATAGAGACTCAAGACGATGGACATGCCCCAATTCATGATGCCACAGGGCTGCACATAGGCGCGAGGCGTCGCCATGTTCTCCTCTATGGCCAGAATCTATTTAATAATCAGAATGTAGCCAAATGTCGCTCTGATTAATGCAGTTCAACAACTTACCACGCCCACCGCCTCCAGAGCAAACAGCACGGTACCAAAGAAGGTGGGCAACTTGGAATAATGCACAAAAGCATCGCGTTCACTTATCGGCGGCAAATCCACTAAAATATAATACAAGACAATGCCAAAGCCTGGAAAGAAAGTATGGCATATGATTAAGATATTCACGGTGTGGCCACCTCTGGGCAGACTTACCCACAAAGAGCAACAAATTGGCAGCACTGGAGAATGGCGCCAGCAACTTCAAGTTGCGTATGCTGAATATCAACAAAAGCGGAACTATGAGGAGGCACATGTGCAGGCGCACATCCCACTCGACCAGATACTCATCCACGAGCTGCTTAATGCTCTCCGCTATGAAGACCACATAGACGCAACAGATGCCAAAGTGATAGAAGGCCAGAAAGCCATCCACAAATGGCCTGTAAAAACACACATTGAAGTGAAATATTCGAGCTGGGCTGCGCAAACTTACGCGGCAATGGGCGCTAGGCAACGCAGGCAAGGGGGACCCTGCTGCAGGCCCAGCTTCATGGCCTCCGAGAAGCTGACATAAGGCACACGCTGCCGCTTGCATAGGATGTACATGCAGTCAATCTGCCATTGGCAATAAATTAGTTGAAAACCTACAAATGAAATAAAACTTTTGCTCCACTTACCAAGATGTGCAGGCAGTATAAGGCCAACAGACCTATAATAACTGTGAACACGAGTCCATTGACGTAGCCCGCATGCGCGAAGGCGCTGGGCATGGCCAGCACGCCAGTGCCTATGGAAGCCTTCAGGAAGTGTGCAAATGTTTGCCAATTGCTAAAAGAGTAAACATTTTAATAGCAACTAGCAAAGCTGAAAGCTGAACCGCTGCTTAGCCGGAATTTTAATTTATTTTCTGCTAGAACCTGAATCTTTAACAAAACCAGTTGTTCATTAAACAAATCCAACTTAAAATGAATAAATGTTGAGGTAGATCCAGCCCAAAGCATAAATAACTAAATAACAAAGGTTGCATTATCTAAGAGATCAAACATAGTACTGAATTGAAAGGCAGGCAGTTGGTATGAAACTGTGAACCGAACCAACACCAGGTTTATATAAGTTTACAGCCCTGTTTATCGCACATACTCAAATAGTACTCATTACTCGATACTCACTTGGTTGGGTTCTTGACGTTACGATGCATATGTGGATCATAGTCATCTTTGAGACCAATTGTTGCCGTGGCCGTGCTGATCACAGTTTCATTCTTAATATGCACCTGTGGATCGTAGTCATCTTTGGGATCAATTGTTGCATTGACTGTGGTGATCACAGTTTCATTCTTGATATGGTTCCTAAGATAAGGCAAATTATATCAATAATATAAGTGATTTTTACAATGCCGATTTCGAATCGCCATTCTGACAGCATTTATTAGCTGATAAATGTGCACCAAGGCACAAAAACAATTGTAAATGTTTATAATGCACAATAAAAATGGGTAATTTTTCATAGAGCTATCATTAGTGTCTTTTAAATGGCGCTGATCCAACAAAAATGTATTTTCAAAAAGAATAACAAAAACATTATTTTTGGAAAAAAATAACTCAACGCTTCGCTCTCTGACTTCATTTATGAGCGTTGTTTTGTGTCATCGTTGTTTACCCATCAGTTAGCTAAGAGTTTATGACTTAAAATTCTGAGTTAGATTGTCTGATTAACTCACTGCATTGTCAGGCGAAGGTAGCGACAGATTATTTGTTAAAGCTACTCGACAAAAACATAAATCGTTTATCACACACGCGGCAATTAAGATAAAAAGATACACTCTACACTCGACTTATGGCTAGGATTTACGTCCAAAATATTAGTAGGTAGTTAGTTATTTTAACGGCACAACCAAACCGAGTGCCCAACGCGCAGCTACTAAATTAACCAGGCACGTCGAATTAGCTCAACAGCCCCGAAACAAATGGAACACGTTAGAAAACAAATAAAAATAAAAATCTTGCAAAATAAGTTGTCGAATATTTCGGTAAATAATAAAAAGAACACAAAAAATGCATTTATATATATATATATATGTATTAATTATGTATATAGATAGATGTATATAAAATTAAAAAAAAAGCATGTCATACTTGTCAATCCCGTAAATCCAGAATTTGTAATTAAGATCGTTTCAAAGTGCTTTCGCCGAATAACTGCGATTAAAGCTTTGCATGAGCAAGAGTTGCGCGCGTTACTATGACCTTAGCCAAGACAGCAACCAAACGTACCGCGTAGAACTTGCTGCGGTTTTATTTTTGAAATCAATAATTAATTTATTTAAATACTCAATTGATTTCTTGGTTTTTTAACACGCATGCACCAAGTGCATGGGGTATATACGTTGTAAAATCTTACCGGATTTCTAGTGCTATAAGGATTTCCTTCAGAAGACCTCAAACTAATTTACGCTCAGAGCATAAAAGCGGCCGATCGTGCTTGTCATTAGGCCTATAAAAATGATATATTTAATATATATATTTATAATTGAAATGAATAGTAATGAACAGTCAAAAATATAGATTTTCAGTTATTAATGGTATTATTAACTCTACTTAACCAAACCGTTTTTAAAACTAATAAGAAATGCGCATTTAAATAAAATATTTTTTAATTAAACACTAAAACTTTTAGAAATTGTATAATTATTACAGTTTTAAGCACACGCTACTTTTAATGGTCCTTAGCCAAGACAGCAACCGAGTGCTCACTACACTAGCGAACGCAACCACCTCACTACTGCCGCAGTTAAGGCGCAGTGCTGCCAATCAGCTTGGAGCTTTCAAGCGATCCACTTGCTGGCACACATTTATAGAAAGCTTTCTTATGTCGTCTCATTTTGAGTGCTGCCCACACAAGTTGATAGCCCATTATTTACACAAGCTATATTTTTTTTGTTTTTATTTGTTGCTTTGTCGCTTATTCTCTATTCAAAAGCTGTTCATAACAGACGTGGATTTCGCTCGTCTCTCTACAAAATTGTTGCTCGCATGAAAATAGCTGACCGGCGGGTAGAGAAAATGCTAAATTATTCTTATATATAGTATAATAATACACTATATGTTATTTAATGTGTTTTATGTGTAATTTTATTCGAATTTAAACGCAATTAAAACGGGCAACAACACACTTAACCGGTTTTCATACAAATTTTCCCAATGTTTTTACGTGAAGTGAAACGTTCGGTGACAAATTTATAAAACAAATTGATCTTAACATTTATTTCATTTCTACTAATACCGTGTGATTTATATATATGTGATGCAGTTTGCTTGGCATGAAATATCAATAAATAAATAGATAAAATCCCAAGCGCAGTGCGAAAGAGTAAACAACACCCAATACTAGCAACAACAACAACAACAACAGCAACAAAAAGAATAGTGTCAAATAATAATAAAGCAAACGCATATTATAACAATAATAAAAGCGCCAGCGAATACGCCAACAAAGTAAACCCAGCCAACTATGGTTTACTCCGTAAAGGTAAGCAACAAATGCTCATCCAAAGCGCTGCACTTCACCTTCCCCTTCCCCCCTCGACTGCCCACACGTGTCGTGATTTTGGGCTAAACTTTTGCCATCAAATGATGTCTGGCAAAACTTGTTTCAGACTTTTACTCGCTGTTTTTAGGGCCCATCGAGTGAAATACGAATTGAGATCTATGTGACGTTCAGTGTACTCTTTTTTACATACATATATTGTACTTATGATAGATGTACTTATTCTATATGAGATCTATCAAAAAGCTGTTCGCAATGATTTATTCAACCCCTTGTTAATTACCCACTCGCTCTGCGTAGCTGCAGCTTATAGCGTGACGTATGTAGAGCTCTGATAATCTAAATGATTGGCACTGTGTAAGCTTTGCTGCAATTATCGCCCGATGGATTATCATCTAACTATATCAATAACACTGACAACGACATTATTGCGTTGCTCTATCTTGGAGTAGTCATCAAATTATTGTATTTAAGTAGCAGCCGGACAGTACGCGCAATCATATCTCTTAAGTACTCTTACAGCACTGTGTAAACTAACTCAAATACAAACAAATGTTAAAAAAATTAAAAACAAAGTTATTTTACATAAGTATAAAATAACTAGCGGGTATTACCCGGCATTGCCCAGGCCACAAAATATGTGCATACCCATCTTAGCGTGCACTTACAGCACAAAAGATAGTTACACCAATCAATCAATCAGTCAGTCAATCAATTGTAGCTAGAACAGCTCGTCCAAAAAGTAACATGCTTTTCTAATAAGAGGTAATATAATAGACTATTTAGTAGTAGACTATTTAATTGCATATACTTAAGTAATTATACTAATAGTACGTACCATTATAGAAAACGTGTTCTCTATTATTCAATTTTGTTGTCATTTTCCATTTTTTTTGCGCTCCGTTTCAATTGGGCCTTACGTCAACGCGAGCTTAGACGCATTGCTCATACTTGGCTTAGACGTTTGAGCGTCGGACTAGCAAGCGAGAAGTTGCCGGCTCAAATCCGAAACGATTTTTGTTTTTGGTTTACTTCATTTGCAATTTTTCTTTACTTTATCAATTGCTGTCGAATGTATATTGTTTGGCAGGCCCCAATCGGGAAATTTTCCTCTAGTATTCCAATATTGTTCTCCTATATGTAACAATTGATGGGCGTAGCTCATCGGAACACTAGACCTTAGAGACTATATAAAATACTATAACTTAATGGCACACGTAATGATAAGCCTCAAACATTTCATAAGCTACCAAGCGCCTATCTCAAGTCTCGCTGATAGCGATAAGTTATTATTATTATTATTGTCGAGCACACAAGAAACCGAATTCTAGCTAAGGTTAGTGTCAAGCCAAACATGTTAGTGGTAAGAAGTGTATACCATGTGAAATTATTTCGTATACATTCGAATATATTACGCCTAATATTATAATGTGCCATGTCCTCTATATGAATCACTTGTCCATCGGGTAGACGGTGTCGGCGGCAACGATTACCCCGTCTTATCAGAAAAGCTAGTCCGTCTATTTTTGGTACAATAACAAACAAATAAAATAGCAACAATTTAATTGCTGTTGCCTCTCTATGGTGTGACAGAGAGAGTGCAAAAAGTTCAGATCAATAGAAAACAATTTGAAATGTTAATTCCATTAGTTAACAACTGCTTGAGTAGCCATCAATTTCTCGGCTATTCTCTCCGCAAGGCGAGCTTGTTGCTTGTCATATTTGTATATTTAATATGAAGCCCATCTTAATAATCATTCCAGAATAGCGAAACCGGCGAGTTTGAGTATTTCTATACCGATTCCGCACGCGTCAAGCAGCCCAAATACGATGAAGAGACCGGCGAACCCGTCCACGATCAGATGAAAGTGCGCTATCGCAAGCATGGAAATTTTCACGTACCAAAGCAATATTTGCGTGGCACCATCTGTGACGAGGTGGACACAATGCTGGCCAACAAACATCACGGCGACTGGGACATAACGGCCAAGCATGTTATTGGCAATGGCGCCACAAAGAATGTGGACAAGCTCAAGAAAATAACGCCCGGCTATGAGCGCGAGGACTATATCAAAATGGATGGCGTCAGTAGCGTAAGTTGGCCGCAGCTTTACGGTTCCTTCGATCATTATAAACTTAACATTTTGATTATATGCCCAATTGCAGAACATCATACTGGGCTATGAGCGCAATTCCTTCCTGCTCTTCCTAATTCCCACATTGTTCTGCTGGAACTTCTTCCTGTGGGCTCTGATGTCCATTCTGGAGATTAGTCTGCACATGCTGTCCCACTATAAGAACTCCCTGACCATGCAGAAGAACCTCTATTTTCGCAGCCCTCTCCACGTGCTCTCCTCACAGTTTTGCGCCATCTGTCGCAACGAGTCCGGCAGCAAATACAATCGCACCTTTGACATTCTCAACGAACAGATGCGCCTGGCGCATCGATCCGATGCACTGAAGAACATGGCCAAAGCCATGGGCTGAGCTCCAGACACAACAATTACGACAATTACAAAATCAGCTTTACACTTTAATGGTAATAAAAACGACTATTGCTTCACGTACAACAATAATAAATGCACAAATACTTATTTCCTGAGGTAGATGCGTTGTGTACCTGAGCATTAATTCTTAATAGCCTCCTGTATGGACTCTAAACGGAGATCTGTCCCATCTGCTTGACGTTCGGCGAGACTGTAAACTTGGCGCCAGTGCAGGCTACTATGTCATCCACGGTGTAGCCCTCGGCAACCTCCAACAATGTCAGACCGACCCCCTTCTCCACTTCAAACACTGCCTTCTCCGAGATTATCATATCGATAACTTCCTTGCCTGTCAGGGGCAACGAGCAGCTCTCCAGAATCTTTGGCGATCCGTTGCGTGCATTGTGCTCCATGGTTATAATTACTTTGGCGCCGGGTGCAGCCACCAGATCCATGGCGCCGCCCATGCCCTTCACAAGCTTGCCCTGTAATTGAATGGAAAGGCATAAGTTAACGCCCAAATAAATCCAGCTGATCATACTTACGGGTATCATCCAGTTGGCCAAATCTCCTGTTGCCGACACCTCCATGGCGCCTAAAACAGTCAGGTCAACGTGACCGCCTCGAATCATGGCGAAACTTTCATCTGAGCCAAAAAAGGCAGCACCTGGTATTACAGTGACGGTCTCCTTGCCCGCGTTGATTAAATCGTGATCGACTTGATCCTTGGTGGGAAACGGACCCAAGCCTAAGATGCCATTCTCCGACTGCAGCATAACGTTCATGCCCTTCGGTATGTAGTTGGATGAGAGCACCGGAATGCCAATGCCCAGATTGGCGTACATGCCATCTCGGAACTCCAGCGCCACACGACGAGCAATTCGTTCGCGCAAGAGCTGAGCAGGATTGGGCTCGGCAGCGGGTTTGCCGTTCTCCTTGGGCTCTGTTATCCGCAAACGCTCAATACGCTTGCTGTAGTTGGTGCCCTTGAAGATGCGCTTGACATAAATGCCAGGCACGTGGATTTCGTCTGGCGAAAGGGCACCCACAGGCACAATTTCCTCCACTTCGGCTACAGTAATCTTTGCGGCACGGCACATGGGTGAATTGAAGTTGCGCGCAGACTTGTTAAACACAAGGTTGCCTAACGGATCAGCTTTTTGTGCCTTGACGAAGGCAAAGTCAGCGAAAATGGACTCCTCCATGACATAGTTGCGACCATTAAACGACTGCACGGGTTTTTCTGCGCTGGCAACTTCCACATTGCCATTTTGGTCATACTTGATAGGTGCGCCGCCCTGCTGCACCAGCGTTGCATAGCCAGTGGGCGTGAAGAATGCGGGAATGCCAGCACCACCTGCGCGTATCTTCTCGGCCAAGGTGCCCTGGGGCGTCAACTCCACGGCTAGCTCACCGCCCAGGTACTGACGCACCAGATCATTATTTTCGCCCACATACGAGCCAATTATTTTGGCCAGTTGTTTCTGCTTAATTAGCACGCCCAAGCCGCAGTCGTCAACACCTGCAGATAAGAAAGATAGCTGATCAAAACATTTAAAAGTACTTCAAGCTCATATCAAATTTTCAATGGGTGGCAACCTTACAAACAATTGGCGAAACAGTTGCGTGTGTAAGTAAACAGACAGAGTTGGTTTACGATTCAGAGAACCAGTTTAAGCAGCTAATAACGATCAAGTGTCATATTAATCTGGTTTTCTTACCGCCATTGTTGGACACAGCTGTAATATTCTTGACGCCCTTCTGTTTGAGTGCATCAATCATCTTTTCGGGTATGCCGCATATGCCAAAGCCGCCAAAAAGTATTGTGGAGCCGTCCTTAACATCGGCCACCGCATCGCTGGCCGACTCGTAGATTTTGCCCTGGCGCTGTTTACCCGAAGTCGAATAGCAGGCAATGAGCTGTAAGTGGGTAACCAGATCTTTAGCGTTCCAGCATAAATTTGCATAGTTGTTTGTCACGATTAGCGTATATGGAGATTGTGCGCGTGTTCTATGTTATTTGTGCAAAACTGACGTTAAACATCTATATGTTAGATTAATTGCGCGTGTGGGGGGTGAAAAGAGCAGAGGGCCTAGTTCGCGTGGGGCTATGACAATCCAGTTGCCGCTTATCACAGCAGCGATTCAGCTAGGCAGGCCCTAACACGCTTATCTATGAATCTCGACTGCAACAATTTTATTACTTTTTATTTATTTACGGCATATCAACAAGTTGTTCGCAAACACCCGGTTTTTGACTAGTTTTATTGTTGTGGCATGTCAACAAATACAGTATTTTCGGACACACAATCAAAAGTATCCTTGCCAAGTATTGTAGTACATCTATAGTTGACACTATCTATTTGCATATGTGTCTATAGATTGCTCACCTTGAACGTTGGGGTCCTGCTGCCCAGGTGATTACATGCAATTAATCTGCGCAGCATTTTAATAAATTTAGTTTGTTTACACACTTAAACTAATACACTTTTAACTTTAACAATAAATTTCCACGCGAATTTCGCACCCCAAGCCCAACCACGATCAAATGAAACCCAGCACTGTCATCTGGGGATATTCAACAACATTAACATTTTCCAAAATGCTTTTAACAGGGCGCACACAGATCTATCGATTATTGTGAACGCGATAGTGCTCAACCACGCGATACATCGTTGCTGCATATTAATCGAACTATCGGGCACAGCTGATTTCTGCAATAACAAAGCAGTTTTCAAAACGGTTTTGTTTATAACAATAGACGCACGCAAAAACAACTTCGCGCATTAAATCCAAAGTTAAAAATATAAAAAAAAACGCTTATTGATTTAATATATAAGCAAGTGTAGTGAGCCTACACTTAAAACCAAAATGGCGTACTAAATTGTTGTTGCCTGTGGTTTTCGGTACTTTTTATTTCGTTCTTTTTTGTTGTTGCTGGTGTGTAAGGTCTGTTGATTTTGTGTTATTATATACTATGTATAAATACACAAACATACGTATGTGTCTATTTCATGACAAGCGTCAGCAGCAATTTACGCAGTTTAAAAATTGGACATGTTCGGTGTGAACTTTTTTATGTTTACATGCCAATTGTCGCTTTTGTTGTTGTTGTTGCTCCTGTTGCTGTCGTTGTCCGATAAGCGCACTTTTTAATTTCTGATCGGTCAGTTCGTTAATTATGCACTTTCTATTGGTGAAGTTGCGGTCGGCGTTGCTTTTAGTTCGACGCTTATCACCGCGCTGCGTGCATTGGCCGTTAAAGACACGCATCATTGCCAGCTGTTTACTCGATGGGAGGCTGTGAGCTACCCCCTCCTTCCACCAAATACCCTGCGCGCCAACAAACACCGGCTTTGGATTCGCTTGACAACAGAACGCAACGCCCAATGGCACATGCCTATAAATAGCAAATCGAATAGTTTTCCTGCAGTGGCTAAACAACAACAACTATAAAAGTTTCCATTGTCGCTCGTCCAAATAATCAGCTTCACCGGCCTCTGTCATTCTGCTGCCACAAGTAATCACACCAAGCAAACGATGCATTGTTCTCCCGCTACCTCGGCTTACCCCGCTCGCCCACGCACACGCACGCATATTTACACACAAATGCACTTAAATACTTATACTCGTAATTTACTTGTTTAATTACTGCTGGCAGCCAATCGCTAATATATTGCCTTTCGCTCAGTTCTGTTCCAGCGCTTATTGCGGCCACAACGTTGTCCGATGCTTGAGAAGACGGTAGCAGTTGTAGCAGAAGCCGTAGCAGTAGCAGCAACAGCAGCAGTCAGCGGGGATCGTGTGTCTTGTCATGGCCAGCGAACAGCAGCAGCAGGAGGAGGAGCAACGCCAACTGCTGCTGCATACATTGAACAGACTTTGGAGCCATTATCTGCACGCCTCAGACTCTGAGGCAGATGATAACCAGGCAGCAGCGAGTGTCAAGGTTTGTATGCAAGTCGGATACCAACCCAATCTAGCAGCGTTCGTCAACGTTATCAGCTTCGTTTGCAGGAACACTGGCTCTGGCTGTTGCTATATAACTTTCAGTACTTGGACGAGCAAACCTTGCAAGATGCGCAGTTTAATAGGTGAGTGCAGCGTGATTGAGTCAGGGAGCAGCTAGCTCAATTTTCGTAAATTGCAGCCACTTCAATCAGCTGCCCGAGGAGCTGTGTTCCTATTTGCTGGAGCAGGTGTATCAAATCATCAGCGCCGCCAAACGCAGTTCGCAGGACATGCCAGAACAGCCGGACAAATGCATCAAACAGCTTCGGAAACAGCACAACTTGGCGCAGGTGGGTGCACATATATATAAAGAGAACTTCATGCTTCATTAATGCATTTTGCATATTTTGCAGCTTATACTGAGCACACCCAGCGATTGCAACAAGATACTGGCGCTGCGAACATTCCTTACCAACGGATTGGGTCAACATTTGCTTGCTTTTCTGCTGCGCGTGCAAATCAAGGCAAGTACTGGGACGCTTAGAAGCATTTAGTTAGCATTATCACTGTTATCTGTCATTGCCCTTTGCAGCACATTGCTTCTCAGAAGAGCCTCTGCCAGTTGTGCATCAATTTGTTTCCCAATTGCAAATGGAGCGCCACAAATGCGCCGCTGCAGCCGCTAACCACCATTGCCCAGTTCATTGCCAGCTTTCACCTGAGCTCACAGCGCAGCAAAACGCGACGTCAGCAGCAGTTACAACAACAACAACAGCAGCAGCAACAACAACAACAGCAGCAGCAGACTCAGCATCAAGTACAACTCCCTGTGAAGATTCTGAACAGCTTTGAGCAATTCAAAAGCGCTTGCAAAACAAGTGATGAACTGGCCATGCTGCTCATTCAGCTACTCGCGCGCTGCATTGATGCGGAGCAGGAGCCACAGCTGAGCGTGACTGTGCATAACTTTGCGCTTGGACATTTGTGCAGCGGCTGCGTGGATGAACTGGAAACGGTCGACGGCAATGATGAGATTATTAAATTTGAGCTGCTCCAGCTAATCGCACAGTGTGTCAACAATTTCTACATACACGAGCATCAGACGCCCAGCTTCTTAGACTTTAATAGCAACTTCAGTC